TAGCGGCCAAGCACGTGAAAAATGCGACCTTTGTGGCAATCTTAAGATGGAGAGCCGTGCTCGTAGTAGAAGACTTGCATGGCCCTGAGGAAGACTTTAAAAAATTGTGGAAAGTTCTATTGGACCCGCCAAATGTTAAACAGTCAGGTATCTTATGGATGCTTTCGCTACTAGTCACTCCTTTGATAGTCTGGTTACTCGGGCGGGGAGAGGAAGTAAGTTTGGGTTCTACCTTTTGCAGATGGTCGTTTGCACAAGTGGTTAACGGGGACCCCCACTTTTCGGCCCTGGGTAACGATGAATGATCCTGAAATTAGGGTTTCGGGGTCAATTTTTTTTATTATTATTATTATTATTATTTTTTTTTTTTTTTCCGCCTGTTTTTGTTTTAGGATAAGTTTGCTGTGTGTCAAATTTGGCGTCATTAGGGTTACTAGAATTTGTGTTGTTAATCATCCTGAAAATCCTGAAATTTTGATGAAGTTGTTTTTTGGCAAAATTGCCTGAAAATGCACTTTTGAGTTGCTATTTTATGTATTTTTAAGTTTTTGTTTTTGATTTTTTTTTAATAATATGTTAGTAAGAAGTGCACTATATAGATTGGTGTGAAGTCCGCTTAGGATGACCTTATGGTTTTCTTATAAATTGAAGTGAAAAATGGGGGGTTGGTTAACTTTTTCTTGTCGTTTGAGTCAACACGACACATGTGATGAGAATGCCCAACGTCCAAACGCATTTGGTACTGGTGGGCAGTACACTTCCACCTTATAGGGGGAAGAAAAATTGAGTGGGATGAAAGGTGGGTTCTCCTGGGCTTTATCCCAAAAGAGGCTACATGGCTAAGAGGGTGGCGATATGTGGCCCAAGTAGCTAAAGCAGTGATAAGCTCAGTGATCTCGGCAGACCGCAACTTCTCGCGCTTCGAAAGGCGCTCATTCTCAGACAACAAGATAAAAGGAGCAATCAAGAAAGGTCTTAAGCAGACAATTGTATTGGACTGGCAGAGGAAAACAAAGAAGGGAAATGTCTGTCGTTGCTCCTTGTGGCGGTTTCTAAAAACATGGGCAGTGGACAATCAATTAGCAGGAGTACACCGTACCAAGGACCTCGTCTTTTTCACCTGGCTGATGAGCTAACTACGATTAACCTAGCTCATACGCTCAGAAGACTATAGTAGGGCTTAAGAAAAAAAAAAAAAAAGGAGGTAAAAGTTTCTAAGCACCAGGGCATTCGGTTGCTTGTTCTTAGTTGACATAGACCACAGTAGACCAAAATAGGGCGCGAGGGTGGAGAGTGTCAAGCTACCTCGAAGTTGAAGCTCCACTCAGCCGAGGAGTTTTGTCCAAGCCAAGTTTAGGCTTGTCCATTAGGTACGAATAACTAGATAGCTCGTTGGGGTAGGGCTAGGATTAGGCTCGTTAAATAAGGCTAGATACAACAAAAAAAATTCCCTAAATTAAATAATCCATTATATAATAAAATTACATTTTAAATTATAAATTTTTATTTTATCTTAAAAATTTTCATTCAAATTTTAAAATTTTTCCTCTTTGAAAACTTTCCTTTCAAGAATGAGGTATCCTTTTTTATTTGAACTGTATGCTAGTGATGAAATGCAAGTCTGGATGAAATCATCAAATATTTAAATTGGACTGTCATTCTAAGTAAGGATTTTCAATCATAAATAAGTTAATCCAATCTAGATTAGAAGATATTTGTTGTAGTAGAATGAAAGTTAAATTAAAATATTTAATAAACGCGTCTAGACTTTTATTCAATCTTCAACAAATAAATATACTTGGAAGAGAAAACTCATATTTAGACGGGAACTTATCAAATAAAACTGAAAACTTTAGAATTAAACGAACATTGGAATGATCATTGTTAAATATGAAGGATTCTTTTTTATCGAATGTTTTTTCAACTTTTATTGATCGTGGATTTTTTTTTTTTTTAGTTCGATAAGTGGTCTGAGAATTTCTATACATATGGAATACACAGACATCAATCCAGGCAAAGCAAAAAATATTTGTGCAATTGTAGGAACATGATTTGAGGAAGTGAAACTGCCCTGACCGTGCATACTTATTAAATAGATTGAAATCGAAAAAAAAATGAGATTCTATTTTATTTCTGCTCTTTATATTTTTATTGTTAATCGTTTAGGTCCTTGGGGACTGTCAAAGTCAAAACCCTTGACGTTTTTCCAAGCCTTCAATGATATAGCCCCGTTTTCTGGATCAGGGACGTTTTACTGCCAACTTGAGGTCGAAACCCACCTACCACTCACCTGTGCAGGGTGTAGAAGAAGGTAGGTCTCACAATCGCACTTGCGATTGCTTTGCAACAAAAAAATTCCCACGAGAAATGAAAGTTGAAAAAAATATTTTATTTAAAAAAGAATCCTTCATATTTATAAATTATCATTCCAATGTTCGTTTAATTTTAAAATTTATAGTTTTATTTGATAATTTCTCGTTTAAAAATTAGTTTTCTCTTTCAATTATATTTATTTGTTCAAGATGGAATAAAAGTCTGAACGAGTTTATGGAATATTTTAATTAAACTTTCATTTTACTACAATAAATATTTTATAATTTAAATTTGATTAATATATTTATAACTGAAAATCCTTATATAAACTGACAATTAAATAAAAATATTTCATCAACTCATCAAGACTTTTATTCAATCTCTTGCATGCAGTTCAAATAAGAAGGGATAACTCTTTTTTGGAATAAAAGTTTTCAAGTAAAACGAAAAATTTTAAAATTAAAATGACATTTTTTAATATGGAATGAAATTTTTAAATTTAAAATGTAATTTTTCTATAGAATGATTATTTTATTTTGAGAATTTTTTTTGTTGTGGGTCAGGTACAAAAAGGACTAGGCGCGACAAAAACATGAGAATTTTGGTTTTATCCTGGTGAAGTGTATCGTCTGGTTAGATTAATCGACTTAGTCGACCGATGCATAGTCGTGTTTAGGAAATCAGCCCTTAGAGCGACAACTCGTGTCTGAGTTCGATTAAGGCGGTCGACCGCACGTACCCCCTATGCGACAACGTACGAGAAACACCCTCGGCTAGTCCACGTCTGCGATTGCAATTGAGTAACTTTCGGATGTGGTTCAGTAGCTCGTCGGAGATACGCCTATCCAAGGGCGGTGACAGTCCCTTGAGCAGAGGTAAGTTGTGTCTCCCGTGACCCCTATCCTTTCATAGTAGTTGGCGAGAGGTGAGGTTGGCGCACTCGGCCGGAGCGGCAAAAGCTCCACTGCGAAGAAAGTCATGCAAAATGCTGAGTGACGTGGCTGAGAGGATTCCCTTGCGGAACCGATGCGTTTGACACCGTGAGTAGCCATGAACCTTCGAAGGAGAGATTGGATTCCTTGATGCTTGAGGAGGAATTCCCCAAACAACACTCACAAGCTTTAAAACATGTCATGCACTATTGATGTCTACTCTACCACACCTATTGGACTACACGATGGCGTACATGCTGCGAGGCGAACTTTCGTTCTCGATGAGAGAACGAGCATGAGTCTTCCCGAGATCCATCGTGGCGGCGAAGTATTCAGGCAGGTAGCGCCTCGCATGAAGCCACGGCGACGATGGTACCGAAGGGCTACGGTATTCACCCATTACCGACCGCTCCCCATTGTTAGTGACCTGCTGCTTCCACCACCAACCTAGGCGTGTATCAAAACCCTCTTACCACGTATACTGGTCTAATAGCATTACTTCGGTGAAAACCCTCCACATCAATGTCAGATTCAGAAAACGTAGAAAACAATGTATTTGGGGCACTGAGCCTGGCTTCCAGCAAGTGACGCTCCCCACCAATAGACCAAGAGCAAAAAACAAAACAAAAAACAAAAAACAAAACAAAAAACAAAAAAGCAGTACTTCGGTTCTTGTGACCGAGTCCAAAAGAAGATTGGCTCTTTCCCTCGTACGAAGCCAATTCCCTTTTGTGGAAGGGGTGTTGCTGAGCGCATTGAGAAGATGGGCGCTTTCCCTTGTATGATGCCAATTCCCTTTCCTAACAGGAAGGGTGTCTAGCTCGCCTACACAGTGTACCATTTCGCCACATGTGCTGAGTTCTCGCTTTTTTGTCCTTTCTGTTTCTGTGAAACACTGCCGTTAGCTGCCGTCAGCTGCCTTTAGCTGCCGTTAGCTGCTGTTAGCCTCTGATAGTATGCTACCAGGAAGGAATGGAACTCTGAATCTGGAACGCACCCTCCGCAGTTTGCATTTACGGAACAGACAATGGCACAAGCAGTCCGTATTTCCCTATTGGTTGGGACTCGTGATCTGGGACTGAATGCCCGGGCTAAGTCCCACTACCTAGCCTATTGGTTGGGACTCGTGATCTGGGACTAAGTGCCCGGGCTAAGTCCCACTACCTAGCCAATTGGTTGGGACTCGTGATCTGGGACTAAGTGCCCGGGCTAAGTCCACTAGCGGAGGTTTAGACTTGGTTCCGACTACCCCCACCGGTTCCATCATCAGATCTGAACATCTCACGGCTGCACAATGGGCCCAAGTTGAAAAATACTCCAAAGCAATACTGAACCCCCGCTACCGGTAGCGGTAGCGGAGCGCCGGTCGTTCCAACTTGCGCGGTGCAAGTAACGGATACGGAATCTCAGTTGACGGGCAAGCACCGGAACATATACGGTCCGTATTGTGGCCATCTTTCCGTCCAAATACGGCGATAATGACTTAGCGTTCTATTCGGTCGGGGGAAGACGGTAGCCCCGGGGTGGATGCGGAGGAGGGAAAGGTTTCGATCCGTGATCCTCCCGCACGTGTTTCGCCTTTTGCGACCGTTGCAAGGATTCAGCGCTGTTTCGTCTTCGCAGCTGCGCCGCTCGGCGGAGGTTCGGGCGGAGGTTCGGGCGGATGCTCACGCGGAGGCTCGGATCCTCTCGGCATTCTTGAGCTCCTTCCGCGGGTATGCGTGACTCAATTCCGCGACGTGAGTTATAGCTTAGCGCCGGTGGACGGTAGCTTCGGTGACGTGGCTTGGTGACGTGGCTTGGCGGCGCGCAGTGTGTATCTGGGCTCGGTAAGGGCTCGGGCATGATTGGGCTGCTGGTGTCTTAGGTCGGGCCAAGTCCGTTGTGCCACGGTGGTCATCTGAGCTTTGCCTGTCTTCTGGGTAGACTTCCGACTTCGATTGGCCTCCGCTCGGTGCAGGGGTGCGCAGGCTGTGCGCAGGGTGGGCACCAGGGTTGGCCCAAGGTTGGGGGGGAGGGTTGGTGCAGGGCCGGGGGGAGGGTTGGCGCAGGGTTCGGGGAGGCTTGGTGCAGGGTTGACATCGGCTCGTCATCGGCTCGGCGGAGGATGTCAGCGATGGTGGTCGACGTCCGCAATGCTCTCAATGGAGAGCTGACATCTGTAGAAAAAGATCGAATCAAGATATCTGTGCGTACCATCTCTCCCCTTGTCCTTCTCTCTTTCTCTCCCTCTCTCTCTCTCTCTCTCTCCCTCTCTCTCTCTCTCTCTCTCTCTCTCTCTCTTGCTCCATCTTCCTTTTTCCATGTCCCCTCTCCTTGCCCCCTTCGTCCCCGCATCTATGTCATCTCTCTCGGTTTCTCGGAATCGCTCTCTCTTTCTCTAGCTCTCTTTTCTGTTCG